CAGACATCTTACTCCTGTCCATCAACATTAGTATGAATTTATTGTCACAGCTGTAATGTATCATTAGGCATTGAATCAAAACATCTGAGGTGTTTCATACCATTGCTGCTAGTGTTTGGTTATTAATCATATTTAAGAGATTTTGCAAGAATTTTCTTTACGTGTGAATTAAAAATATAAATTTTGTATTATCCAGTTTCTTCCATTAATAGTACTTAAATTCATGTTTATAATGTGTTCTAATTGGTTTTACAGAAAATGGAAGAAGTGAAGAAAGATGCAGAAACTAAAATTAAGAAAGAGAAAAAAGCCTCTGATGATGAACCATTAGACCAGAAGAAGAAATCAGCTCCAGCAAAAACTGTAAAACAGGAGAAAGAGTCAGATGATGATATAGATGAACCAATAGAAAAAACACCGCCAACTTCTGAAGATGAAGTGTCTGGGTCTGAATCTGATAGTGACTGAGTTATGCTGCAAGATAATAAATGGTGGTTTGAATGGCTTTTGTATGATTGAATGTTTGAAGAAACTGTAACTATAAACTGAATTCCAAACCCATCTGTCTCATCACAAACAATTGCAATGAATTTTTCTGTATTGTAAAAGTTGTTAGTCTTACACAAAGTTCATTATAAACAAAAATTGCTAGCATTTCTGTTCCCTTGTGATTTGATTGTGTGATACACATTCCACAGAATATATTGCAACATGTGTTCTTAAATCTAATACTGAAGTAGGTTTTGTTGTAAACAGTAATTTTATAAAATACTTGTGCCCATCTGCACAGGTGATGTCCAGCTTGGTTCCTTTAGGGAAGGTAGTAAGGTTTGGAGAAGTGAAGCCAGGCCTTGCCTTCATAGTTGGGGTTAAGGGGCATATATATTTTTTATGGCTTCTTTAGTGGACCATTTGGCTAATAAGCTACACACCGAATCACAGGAGAAATGGATCACATGTACACCAGATTTTTGTTTTGGGAGTTGTCTGTTCATCGATCCAAAGAGAGGTGCAATTTTACATCAGTCTGTTCCATTCATCCCTTGGTTATGAAAAATGTAGCTGCCACAAAAGTGACTGGTTACAGGCTAGGTGGCCTGGGTTATATTTCTGAGAGGAATTACAATTTTTTAGGATTTTTATATTTATATGAGCAATACATTATGTGCAGTATTTGTCTCTTGTCTGTTATAAGTATCAGAACAACATTTTGATTTCGAAATATGAAACTTCATTTTTGTGTCGTAAAGTGCAAGTTTACATTGATCAACAAAGAATAAATTAAAATATTTTGTTGCCCTCTTGCACATGAAATGTTATAATTTGACGGAGGTTCCATAAATGGAGAGCATAATAAACAAAAATGACAAAGGCATGGCAGAAGGAAATTAAGACTGTTTGACCAGTGACGTTTCCGTTTTGTAATAACTTAGCTGAAAATGAATACCCATATCCGAAGTACAAGATAACGCCTGTTCTAACGTGGCGCCATCCGTGTTGGTTCACAGTTTGATTCATAGATCCAGTCACAGACGATATTTAGCATGTTTCTCATACCCTGAATCACAGACTACGCTGCAAGTGAATCAGGGTGGCCAACATAATAATAAGACGTACAGTTTGGACCTGCTTGTTCCTAACACACTTTTGTACATCGAAATGGCTGTAGATAAGTTGCACACTCATTCATGTTTTATTTATGTAAATTCATTACATTGTTTACAGATGTCATATAGAAAAACTTGTCACTTTTAAACAGGGTGTGGCTATTTGGCAACAGACTTGAATCAGTAAATGGGAATGTTGCTCCACCTCGCACGCTTATAACATTAAGCAGCCGATTCTCTTTCTGAACGTTGGTTAAACTGAGCTAGGCAGGTTAAAGAGATGTCATATTGGTGTTCGTGCCCATTTTATGGTATTCAGATCTGTCGTGTGTTGTGAGTGAGTGTATACAAGTTCTTAAACTAAATTTGTATAAATTTTTGCTACATTTGTAGGTGATGTGAGATGGCATCTTTATCTCTGCCAAGAGTTCTGCAACAACGAAAAACTAGTCTCGAACAGGAAAGAGAAAATTTTGAAAAATGTCAGGTATGTGCAGTTATAGTAATGACAAATTGCACAGTTTTATTTGTATATTACCTTCTGATATTAAATTTGATGTGGGTCGTTCACTCCAATTTCATTCATATTTTTAAACACATGGACCATGCTTGTGATTCACATGTACGGTGTGTTTAGTTTATAAAGTGGACTTAAGTATTTTACAAATGTGTCCCATCTTACATTTTACCACATAACTCCCCGACAACAACAAAACAACAAGTGACAGACAGCTTTCCCCATCAGATGTAATTGTTATCAATCTGAATATCCTTATTAATTATCCCAGTGGTGTATGTGAATGATACATACGTTGAATTTATAACGTAGATACTACGCAGGTTATAAAATGCATTATTAGTCTTGCTCATACAGATTACTTGCATTTGACTGGGTTGGAACAAATTCATAATCAAGATTTTGGTTCTTAAATATATTTTCATACTGTTTTATAATATATCAAGGCACAAGTGTAACCCACATTTTTTCTTGATGTTACTTATTGTTTCATTCCTGTTGCTGTTGAAAACGTACAGCTATTCCATGGGAACCATTTCTCACTTCATCATTAAGATTAACCTCGAAATATAGGCGGTGCACTGAACACAGTTGCTGTAGTGATTTAGTTTTTAAAGGATGTGATTTATAAAGCATGTGTCATGTTAATGGTGAAATTGATTTAACAGCTTAGCCGCTTTGTGAAAGAAATGTATGTCGATTTAGACATTCGCTTTTATCAGTGCAAATATTCAGACGCTTTCATGAAAGTGAAAGTATGGAATCCAAAATTTCACCATTCGTGATAGTAACCGACCTTGACCTGGACGGAAGGCCCTGGAAACTACAGTAATTGGGACAACTGTTTAGGCGGATAAGTTAAAATTAGCTCAGCAATTTACGCGTGTGGTTTGTTTTGTACGTAGTCATAATGGATAATTTTCCTTCTTAACGACGATCAAGAATAGGAAGTCGGCAACATTTGCATTATTTGTACCAGATCCTTGCTACTTTATTTATTACGGACTACAATGTAGACGAATTAAAACGTTATTTCCGAGGTATTGCAAATGTCTTAAAATTAACTATTTCGTGTATTCCTTCGTCTGCTCTTTGTTTATTTCGGTATTGGTGTGTTGTGTTGTTGATTGGGTACGTTTTTATTGCCGACAGAATATAATAAGCACCCGCAAATAGATAAACAAGGAAATGTGTTTTCGCGTTTGCGGCATTGTAATATTCCGTTATCGTGTGCAAATTGTTAATATTGTGTAGAGAAGTAACATTGTGTGCACTCAGCACATTTACTGAACGAGCACCTTTAATGGTGTAGTCAATTGCATGACATCTTGCGCCACCAGGTTCTGTTTTGTTTCTGTTCGGTTTGTGTTATTCTGAGATTTCATGTACAGGCATTTTTTGTTCAGTAACTTTATCATTTGTTATTAAAAAGGAAGTTTACTAGCACAGAGAATTGGAAGCTCACGGCGCCGGCCCAGTAGATAATACTGTGCGCCTTGTCCGAGTAGGATATTTGATAGTTAAACAAGTCCGAAGTCGATAAGTGCGACTTATATCGATCAAACGTAATCCTTATGTTGTAAGAAGCTGAAGAAACATTCTATAGAGTTCCTTAAAAATAGCTCATGGTACAAAAGGCTGGTACGTTTATTTATTCATATTGATATTATGTTTCGTATCTGTCTAACCAGGCTGTACAAGGTTTACTTTCCCCAAAATACAAGAAATATTTTCTTTCTGACTGTGCAGTGTGAAGTCTCGATGCAGTTGGCTTTCAACAGTCAATTTATTATTCAAGAAATGGACATTGAGGCATTCATGTTGCAAAACAGCAAAGAATTCATCTCAAAAATTGGTGTTCGTCATTTGAGTATATCTTTTCACTCTCGTTGCTTGCTGTTTTGGCAAGTCTCCTGTCTCCTCCGCTTGGCACTTCTTCAGTTTTTAAGGATGTCCGGAGAGGTGGCAACAAACCCACATCAGAACTTTAGAAACAGACAACAGGAAGTTGCCCGGTTCATCGCGGTTGGCAATGCAATAGCACACGCTTTATATTAAGGAGGTCCCGGGTTCGAACCTCGACCTAGAGATAGGCTGTATTAAGGTGTTGTAGAGCATTCTTCAGTTGTTTTTTTAATAAAAACAAAGTTGGAGTAGTGCCTGAAAGAGACCATCACTGCTTCTATCATCGTTTACAATCATATTGCTGTTCGATACTGGAAAACATTTGTAGTTGATAAAGCTTCGCTAAAGAAGGCAGTTCGTCTCTGTTAAAACCCGTCATAACGGCGAAATGAAATTCTGGTTTTTATGAGTGAGATCATCTTGGGGGTGAACGTAACAGTTTGTGGACGTATTTCTGGGTTGTTATGCCCAGTGGACTCGTAGGTAAATACGAACATTTTGTTGGTCCCCGTCTTCAGGGCTGGAGAACATTATCGACGTCTTCACTGTCGTCAGTAACGTGGCTGGCTGGCTGTGTGTGGGCCGATGTTGTCACCAACACAAGCTGGGGCAAAGGATTTTATCTTTTCACTGTCTGTGTGTTCAACGCAAACAACCTAATTCGTAATAAAAGTTCGATAAGTTTGGAATGGCCCAACGAGTGCTCAGAAATTAGCATCCACAATTTAATTTAATTTGCCACAGATTTTTTAAAGCAAAGCAACAGAACACTTAACATTCATTCGTTAATATCGGGCCTCAATTTTCGTAAATTAGTAATATAATCGATGGAGTTATTACGTAATGATGATGTTCTTCTGGGTTTTGGCGCCGTTTGGACTGGTCGGTAGATTTCCGACGTTTCTCCTAACATCATCGCCGTCATAACTGCCATGACAACCTCAAATCACACGAGTTAATTATACTTGTTTGGGTAATTTAAAGGCCAGTTTGCCACACATAACACAATGAATTAGGATTATTCTCATACGTTCGAGGCTTTATGCGTAATGTTTTAGTATCACAGCAGGCCACTAGATGGACAGTCATCAGCGTAAGTTACAAAATTCGATGCATAATTAAAGTGGATCATAAAACTGTGAGGATGTGGATTGGATTCATCTTGCCCAGGATAGGGTCCAGTGGCGGGTTGCTGTGAACACGGTAATTAACCTTCGGGGTTGGTAGAAAGCGTGGGATTTCTTGGCCAGCTGAGCGTCTCTCGGTCCCCCAAGAAATCTGTTGCTTGATGTCGGTTATTTCAGTATTCATGCAAGCAAATTCCCGAAAAGTCAACCTTCATTTCGGTAACGGAATCTGTGACGATTAATTTTATATTTAAGGGTTTCGTTTGATTCTCGGCGTAAGCAGCAATTATTTCCTTAAAAAGTTTTACGTCGTTGATCTTTGTAATGGTGGTTTTCTTTGCGGTACGGACTGGATTCTAAATAAAGCTCGAAAGTTGGTATTCATTCTGACGAGTTTAAACTTACTGCTAGCAAATATGTCTTGATGAGTAATACTTCGATAGCATTAGGTTAAAAGGACAGCTGTTCGTGATACGTAGTACGTACATTTCAGAGAACTGGACACTTCCATAAACGTACCAGTCGTATTGTAACGACACGCTTGAAGGGTCACGATTTCCATTCTCTTGGTGATTTTTGGAGCGATTTGCCAGGCAACAACGATGTCTCCGCTCAGTGACGCAAACAGAAAACTGATTGTTGAAGCGTTTGATAATATGGTAAGACTGACATTATTGTTGTTCCTTGATATCCATAAAAGTATTTAAAATATACCTGACACAGTGCACTTTATAGTCAGTAAATTACAGTTTGTATTTTTGGGAAAAGGCCATCTTCTGGATTGTAGCGTGATGTGGTCTTGGAAGTTTATACTAGCGATTCTGAGGGACATACTACCTCAATTTTTCCTAGAGCAGAGCGCTCTTTCGGAGCTCCTCGGAGGGTTGTTTGCGATTTAAAATCGTGAGTAAGACACAAAATTAACCCCCCCTTTGGGGGGGTTAATTTAGTGTCTTACTCAAGTCATTTGTTTACTCGACGTTGTTGTGTTCTATTATAACCAACCAATTTGATTGTTGTGTTCTATTATAATATATAATATTGTGTTGGTACAACAATGCCGAGTAAACAAATATAACGTAACATTGTTGATGACGTCATTTTTTGACGACAACGACTAATCACAAATTTTTATAGTAGAAGAGATATAATATAGAGAAGATAGAAGATCGTTGATATCACCTTACAAATTCCGCGTCGTGTTAAATGTGACTAGCGAATGCGGCCCGTGGTAATGAAAAATTATCTACCCCTGGTTTAAATGCTTCCATATGTGTTGAGAGGAATTCATTAATTTATTAATTTATGCAAGTGATAATTTCAGGTTCTCATGGCGGTGAGTACGAAGATTGGTGTTTTCTGGGTTATTGCACCGTAACGTCTGTAAACTTCTACCAGACTTGACTGCTCAATAACCCAGAAGACAGCCATCTTGTTGTGTATGTGAGTTTTCTATAAACATAGACAAAATCTCATCTCGGCTGCTGTGATCAAATACCAGATCAGTATAATTATTGTTACTTTATAACTAATTACAGAACTTACATTTCCGATGTACGTACATTGGCAGAGAGTGCCACGCCATCATTGAAGTTGCGTTCGTATTCTTTTTCAGCTTTGTTATATCCCACCTTATTTAAGTAACTCGTTTTAAACAAAAACATAAATGTTCTTGCAAGTATTAATAATATCGATAAACTGCGATGTGCAACACGTTAGCACTGAATTGTATCGGAGCATTATCTGAAATGTTCTGATGTAGGAATATTGGCATTGGTTGAAAGTTATCTTGTTATCGGTGTGACAAGCCCTCTGCCACGTCCCAAAACTCCTTGATTTAGCAGTTCTTTGACGTCTTCGTGAGTAAAGGCAGTGGTTAAGATCCGATGTCTCAAGAACGATGTAATTTATGTGACTCGTAACGCGGTAGAAAAATGTTGTCCTAATTTGTGTAATGAGTTGAGATGTTTTTAAATGTAGCGAGTCGACGTAGAAATAAGATCGAAATTGAAGACCTATTTTCTTCTCATATAGGCCTAATTGAAGACACTTGAGTCTTGAATCTGCGTGAGTGTGTGATCTGTCAGCTTTATACAGTAAATACTGTCACGTCATGGAAACCATATTGAAACCTCGGATGTCAGAGAAGCAGCACATTGGCTTTGTAAGTACCTACTCGAAGTAGTTAGCACTGCAATGACAAACTCAAAGCATGGCACTAATTATCTTCTGAGCCATTATAATATTAAAGAATCCTTTTCGCGTAAAGACTGGTAAACATCTTAAAGGTAAAATGGTTCCTTTACCTTAATCACCACACCATGAAGACGTATAGTGGAGCACATTATTAAACGCGACACTGAGGTCAGCTTCACGCTCCGGCCGGTTTTCCCCGTGTAAGGGCTAGGTAGCAGGAGGCTGGATGGACCTCTGAACGCTGTTGCAAAGAGAAAAATGTTGCCTGGGTAACGTGTTTCAGTAGTCCATCGTGCACGCATTCTACTTGATGAAGGCAGTAAGTGTCTCCGAAACGTCCGTACATTTTTTTTACATAAATACGTCTATATTGAAGGGTCATTCGGCAAAAAAGGGAAACGAAAAAGTGTAACCTGGGTACCTAGGAAACGTCATCTGTTTACTCGGCATTGTTGTTACCTAGGAAACGTTACATTTCATTACATTACATTCAGTTACCACAGACTCATCTTAAGCGTAACTAATTCAAGTTAAATAAGCAATGTCTTAATCAAACTTTACTCAATTGTAAAGCATGTATAAAGGAAATATTTAGATTAAAGCCAATATATAAACTTCCTTTCCGTATAGACGTATTTACGTCAAATTCTCCGGAACCGTGGTTCCACTGACAACTTTTTTTGTTGAATTCTGCAGAATGTTTCTCGGTATTAGCTAAGTGCTAGGTTGGCATGTTTACGAAAATAAAATGACGTTAAGTTACCTAATGAGTGTTACGGATCAAAGCTGTTACGAAATTTCTTTTGTGACAGAGAAGGATATAATGGCGTTTCGGCAATGGAGTGACACTTCTAGTTTTGAATTTAACCGTGAGCAAGGATTATTCAGTTGTTAACTGTTGACAACACCCACAAGTGAACGATGATTTTCAGAATTAGGCCTGCGACTTGTTAAAATTTACTAGTAATAATGAGTAGCGATTAAATAAGTCACTTCAGATGATGGAATAAAAATAAGTTATCTGTAATTAAAACCAAGACATTTACATTTTAGATAATATTTGTTTAGTTACTTTAAATATGTCACAGTCGCTTTGTTACTAATTCTCGTTTGTATCAAATTTATGATTCTGTTCTCATCTTAATCCGCCACTGCAGTAGACATTACGACGCGTAATACACTAAGAATGAGTTTCATGTTAACCATCTGTGGCTTCAAAGTCTGTCTTTTGTTGTTATGAGTATGATCTTACGTGGTAACATGACTTAGCAGCAGTTTACAAAAGCCTTATTTGAGCGGGGGTGGGAGATATGCATTCAGAAGTCCATTTTTAGAACAGTATGCCCTTTTGGGCCTCAGTTGGCCTAAACCTCAAGGCCTACAGTACAGCTTTCTTAAAACTCCACACTCCTTGAATCGTGAACCTGGCACTGCCATCACGAAATTACAAACTCCACAGAGCAAATACTTCTTTTCCTCATTCAGTATCCATCGCCGTGTTCAAAAGAGTCCGCCATTGTATCTTATCCCGAACTATGTGAAACCAGTCTACATCCTCATATTCAGTTGAAGATATTTTTTTAATATTATCATACGTCTGTATAAACTTTTCATTCTTCCAAATGGTTTTCTGTCCAGAATTTTTTGTACACATTGCTCATCCACGATGCATGCCACATACACCACCCATCAGATACTCTGTGAAGATTTCCGTCTTCTGGGTTGTTGCGCTGTGTAGTCTGGTCGATGTTAACCAACGTTTCGGAGGTCATACTGCCTCCGTCATCAAGGCGATGATGACGGAGGCAGTATGACCTCTGAAACGTTGGTTAACATCGACCAGACTACACAGCGCAACAACCCAGAAGACGGAAATCTTCATACTCACCGCTGTGAGAACCTCAAGTCTTACAGATACTCTGTGATTTGATGTTTATGATAATTCGTGAATAATACAAACTATGACGTTTCTCGTTATGCAGTTCTGTCCATTTACCATTTAACTTACTCTCTCTGCAGTGGCTGAGCATCTTTTTAATATACCCACAATCCTAACCAAATTTGAATTAAATCATTCATAAATCATAAACGTAGTAATGACTCGTGCAGGTGTGCTGTCTCCTAGCGACAAGAACAGACAGAACGGAAGAGAGGAAGGAATTGGGAGATGGAACGATTCTGCGTGATAAAGATGTACACAGTTTCGAAGAGTGTTCCAGATAATATAATCTTGCTCAGACGGAAGTTGAATGTTTGTGTATGGTGGTCTTATGCGTTTAAAGTCGATATGAGACTACGTTGGTGAGATACACACGTATTAGTATCGACTCACAATTTATCGATAATAGTTACGTAGATTTTGAAAATAAGCTTTATGAAAGGCGTTATTTTATGCTTTTCATGCAGATACCGCGTTAAAGACAAACGATAATCAATATTTTTGCCTGATGTATTAATTTCGTCTTGGAATTATGGCATTATGGAGCAGTATCGAAATGTTGGTGCGAATTAGAATTAACCTGTTAACTGACATGAAAATTAATTCACTGCAAGAAACAAGCACGTAATTTTTGAGTTATGACGACGGCGTTGTAGTGTTTAGGTGATTGCCCTGAAGGCGAAGGCGATAGATTCCTCCGAAATTTATATTTTCGCCGTCGTGAAACTTTGTCTCGAAGCGTCTGATTTACTCCGAAGTAGTTAATAAATTTAGGTTCTGAAAACTAAAGTAATTATGTGGTACATCTTTTTTATCTGCCCCCGTAGCGTTAGATAGTGATCGATTTATGCATTAAACAGGCGATAAACAGTGGGAATTTAGTGCTTTCGTAGACGACTTTCCCCGAACATGCACTAGCTGTTGCAAGAAATGGATTATTGATTTAGATAAGATACAGATAATATCGATAAGTTCGGCTTGAGAAGGAAGCCTGGCTTCATATGAACTCTGGCGTTTGAAGAGGAGAGGTTTTAAAACTGTAGAGAGAACATTACAGCTGACAACGTCTGTTCCTGGTAGTGGCGAGACGGGCTCTGAGATAGGGAGGAAACTAATCTAGGCAACAGCTTCCGCTCTGCTGCTCTCCCCTAGCAACGCCGTGGTGATCCTATTGTCTGTTCCAAAAACATGCTCTCGTTTGGCCAGAAGGCTTCGAAGAATAACAAATTACATTTTTTCCCCCCAACTTTACATATGATTTTGTAAGAATTCACTTTAAAACTTTCATAATGAATGTAATTTGAGTGGTTGAGAACGCAGTCAGTGTTTTTAAGAAGATTTTTTTAAGTGTCTTGAAAATTATTCGTGGACAACCAATCTTTATTTTAATTCTGAAATACAGGAAAGATTTGCTGGTTACTTCCAGACATCCCCATATCACAAATTCCAACGCAGGAGAATGCTTTTGAGAAGCTAATAGTCGGTCATGTGGTCAATAAATTGTCATATTTTACTGAACCTGAA